GCTATTAGGGAAACAGACTTCCTTTTTTCCCACAATGGACACAAATCTGAAAGGCTTTCATGGTCCTGGAAGCTACTAGCAGAGGAAGAGGAGGGAGGCTGCCTGGATATCGAGCAAACACAGGAGAAACAGAGCCAAGAAATGGAAAGAGAAAACTCCTTGACCCAAGGGTTCATAATGTACCATATCCGAAGCTGCCTTCTTTTAGCAGAAGCATGCCCCAGTCTTTCATCCTTAGCTCATCCTCACCCCCCACAGTTTCCTAGTCTAGGGCTACCTCCTCCTGCTTTCTCCGACTAAAAATGTCCCTTTCAATTGCAAGAAATTGGAGTTTGACTCAAGAGAGAGGCTGATTGTCATATAAGGAATAGAAGATTCTCAAATACAGAATATTGTCAATGGAGATCTCTTGAGCATGTAAAGAGTATGCCGATTATTGCTCCTATACCTGTGAGAACACAATTTGAGCAAGATAAATTCTCTTCCTTTAAGGCTCTGATACTCTAGAGCAGCACTGTACAACAGAAATATAATGTAAGCCACAACACAACTGCAAACATATATGTAATTTTAAATTTTCTAGCAGCTACATTAATACAACAAAAAACAGCAAGTAAAATTAATTAATTTTTTTTTTTTTTTTTTTTGAGACAGAGTCTCACTCTGTCGCCCAGGCTGGAGTGTAGTAGTACAGTCTTGGCTCACTGCAACCTCTGCCTCCCGGGTTCAAGTAATTCTCATGCCTCAGCCTCCTGAGTAGCTGGGACTACAGGCACATGCCACTATGCCCAGCTAATTTTTGTATTTTTAGTAGAGATGGGTTTTGCCATGTTGGCCAGGGTGGTCTTGAACTCCTGATCTCAGGTGATCCACCCACCTTGGCCTCCCATAGTTCTGGGGTTACAGGCATGAGCCACCACACCCAGCTTAATTTTAAAATGTTTTATTTAACTCAGTTTTATTAGTCTGTTATCATGCTGCTAATAAAGACATACCCGAGACTGGCTAATTTATAAAGGAAAGAGGTTTAATGGACTTACCATTGCACGTGGCTGGAGAGGCCTCACAATCATGGTGGGTGGCGAAGGAAGACCAGGCGTGTCTTACGTGGCAGCAGGCAAGAGGCTTGTGTAGGGGAACTCCCCTTTATAAAACCATCAGATATTGTGAGACTTATTCACTATCACGGGAATAGCACAGGAAAAACTCGCCCCCATGATTCAATTGCCTACCACTGGGTCCTTCCCATAACATATGGGGATTATTAAAATTCAAGGTGAGATTTGGGTGGAAACATAGAGTCAAACCATATCACCAGTATATCCAAAACATTATCATCCCAACATTTAATCAATGTTAACCTTATTAGTGAGTTATTTAACCTTTTTTTTTTTGTACTTAGTCTTCAAAGTGCTTGCAAATTTCATAGCACATTTCATTTTGGACTAGCCACATTTCAAGTGTTCAAGAGCCACATATGACTAGTGGCTACTGTATTGGACAGTGCAGCTCTAGGAGTAATTACATAAAGACTTACTCTGATATATGGAGGACTGTAGTCAGTACAATGTTACAGGTACAATCCTGTGCTCCAAAAGACTAAGGAGGGAAGAATGGACACAGAGAAAAATGGGCCATTTGTGTCTAACAGTATTTTGATGGTTACAGACCTGGAGGTAGAAGAACCAAATCAATGACTTTTGCATACAGGTGGGCCTTAAGGACTCAGACTTCCTAGGATAGCTTTTGGGGGAAAGGGCATTCTTTTCTCAGTTTTGAGACCCACAGTCTTTAGGCTGAAAGTTTTGGGGAGTATGGTACTATGTTTTGGATATTTATTTTCCCCACAAATTCCATGACTGTTTCTAAATCTCTTCTGCTTCACTCTACCCAGTGTCATTGCCCCTCAAACTCCATTTGAAGAGTGGTCCATGTGTGAAGGGGCTGGGGAGGGGTTTTCCTGGCATTCAGTTTACATCTCAAGTAAGAAAGGTTATGTTGGGGAAGAGGCAGAAAGTTTTTGTAGCCTCAATCCAGAAATGCCTTCTCATATCTCAGTGGATTAAAAAGCATTTCCTCAATGATATGGTTTGGTTGTGTCCCAACCCAAACCTCATCTTGAAGTGTAGCTCCCATAATTCCCACATACCATAGGGGAGGTACCGGGTAGGAGGTAATTGAATCATGGGGGCAGGTCTTTCCTATGCTGTTCTCGTGATAGTGAATAAATCTCACAAGATCTGATGGTTTTGTTTTGTTTTGGAGACGGAGTTTCACTCTTGTTGCCCAGGCTGGAGTGCAGTGGCGCGATCTCAGCTCACTGCAACCTCCGCCTCCTGGGTTCAAGCGATTCTCCTGCCTCAGCATCCTGAGTAGCTGGGATTACAGGCATCTGCCATCATGCTTGGCTAATTTTTTGTATTTTTAGTAGAGATAGGGGTTCACCATGTTGGCCAGGCTGGTCTTGAACTCCTGACCTTAGGTGATCCACCAGCCGTGGCTTCCCAAAGTGCTGGGATTACAGGCGTGAGACACTGCACCCAGCTGACCTGATGGTTTTATAAAGGTGTGTTCCCCTGCAAATGTTCTCTCTTGCCTGCCACCTTGTAAGAGGTGACTTTGCTCCTCCTTCACCTTCCATGATTGTGAGGCCTCCCTAGCCATGTGGAGCTGTGAGTCAATTAAATCTCTTTACAAATTACCCAGTCTCAGGTATGTCTTTATTAGCAGCATGAGAACAGACTATTTAATACACTCAACTTCCATATTTCTTTTTTTTTTTTTTTTGAGACAAGAGTCTCGGTCAGCCACCCAGGCTGGAGTGCAGTGGTGTGATCTCGGCCCACTGCAACCACCATCTCCCAGGTTCAAGCAATTCTCCCATCTCAGCCTTCTGAGTAGCTGGGATTACAGGCACCTGCCATCATGCCCGGCTAAGTTTTGTATTTTAGTAGAGACAGGGTTTCACCATATTGGCCAGGCTGGTCTTGAACTCCTGACCTCAGGTGATCCCCCCGCCTTGGCCTCCCAAAGTGCTAGGATTACAGGTGAGAGCCACCGTGCCTGGCCTCAATTTCCGTATTTCTAAGAAAAAGAACATTTTCCTACATAACCACAAAATCATTATGACACTCAGGAGACCTATAAATGATTGATACTATTATCTAAAACACAAGTCACTTCAAAATTTTCCCAACTGACACACCAGAGTAGCTGGGACTACAGGCACATATCACCAACCTCAGCTAATTTTTGTATTTTTTGTAGAGACGTGTTTTCACCATGTTACCCCAGCTGGTTTCTGAACTGAGCTCAAGGGATCCACCCACTTTGGCCTCCCAGAATGCTAGGATTACAGGTGTGAGCCAGTGCACTCGGCCTGTAGTTGTCTTAATTTAATGTTTTTTCTTTCTTCTTTTTTTCTTTTCTTTCTTCTTCTTCTTTTTTTTTTTTTTTTTTTTTTTTTTTTTTTGGACAGAATCTCACTCTATCACCCAGACTGGAGTGTAGTGGCCTGATCTCGGCTCACTGCAAACTCCGCCTCCCAGGTTCAAGTGATTCTCCCGCCTCAGCCTCCCAAGTAGCTGAGATTATGGGCGCCTGCCACCAAACTTGGCTAATTTTTTGTATTTTTACTAGAAATGGGGTTTCACTATGTTGGCCAGGCTGGTCTCAACTCCTGATCTCCAGTGATCCGCCTACCTGGGCCTCCCAAAGTGTTTCTATTACAGGCGTGAGCCACCATGCCTGGCCAATTTAATGTTTTTCTATTTTTGTTTTAAAATATTTACCCATTCTAAGTCCAAAGATATTCTCCTATATTATATTCTAAAGGCTTTATAGTTTAGGATTTCACATTAGGTCTTAATCCAACTGGAATTGATTTTTGTGATGAAATGAGAGAGGTCCTGTTTTGTTTTTTTGTTTTGTTTTGTTTTGAGACAGTCTCCCTCTGTTGCCCAGGCTGGAGTGCAGTGGTGTGATCTCTGCTCACTGCAACCTCTGCCTCCTGGTTCAAGCGACTCTCCTGCCTCAGCCTCCTGGGTAGCTGGGACTACAGGTGTGTGCCACCACACCCAGGTCATTTTTGTACTTTTTAGTAGAGACAGGGTTTCACCATGTTGGCCAGGATGGTCTCGATCTCTTAATCTCGTGATCGCCCGCCTCGGCCTCCCAAGTGCTGGGATTACAGGCGTGAGCCACCGTGCCTGGCCTTCATATTGTTAGAACCTTCATTGAATACACCGTCTTTTCTCCATGGCTGTATGATACCACCTTTGTCACAAATCCAGTTTTCAAGTATGAGTGATAAACCGTAAAGAAAAGCAAAGAATCAAGTATCTGCTTTTGGTAAAAATAAATAAATAAATAAATAAAAATAAGAAAAGCAAAGTGTCATAGAAGTCGGGCTAGTGGTTTTCTCAGGAAGTGTATCTGCGAAGAACCTGACACTATTCTTTTTTCGCTCTAATGACTTGTCTGTTCATAATACACTTTGCTTTATATTTCAGAATAAAATTGTGTTATATTTATCAATAAAAGTTTAGTTAAAAGTAAGCAAACAGAAAAAAAATATATATATTGATGAGGGAAGCGCCAGCATCTCTCAAAAGTGAGTTCGTGGTTTTGCTCTCACTGGAAAAGCTGGCGGGAGGTGCTAAGGTGGGGAAGCTGAATCCACGGATGGCCAAGCCAAGACGCGGCACTTCACCGGGGGCAGCGACGGGCCCAGACCTTGCTCGGACTGTCCTGGTGGTAACTGGGAGACCTTGCCAGAGAGGGAGCTTACAGGTCAGCTGCGCCCGGAATTAAACGACCCACAGACAGCGGCGCAAACACAGGGACTGACCGGCTTCAGCCAGCTCCCAAAACCTGCTCTCGCATAAGCAGCACCCTCCGCCGCCCACAGAGACAGATTTCCGCCCCAGCCGCAGGCTCGCGAGGTAGGCGGTGCCGCGAAGGCCTCTGGGAAGGCGGTCCGTGGGCAGCCGCGGGGCACTCTGGGATTGGGCTCTGGGCGGCTTTTTTCAAGTGGCGGGGCAGGCGGTGTAGACCGCTCCGGCAGCGCGCTCTGCCCGGCTTCTTCAGTCTCCATGCTGGGAGCGTCCGGGAGCAGCTCCGAGGCCGCGACGAAACCAGGTGGAGTCCGAGGTTCGGAGGAGTATCCGAGGTTAGGGGAAGGCCGGAGAATGGGGTGGGAGGCGGCGTTTCGGAGCCTAGGGTTCTGTTCCTGCGATCGCCGCGTCCCCTTCCCTTGGTGGGAGCGGCTCCCCTCGCAGGCCGGGTTCCCGTTCTGGACCTTCGCCCTCGGAACACGGTGCTGTCGGCCGGGACTCCTTCCCGAGGTGGACGACTCCTTGCTCTCATTCCTGGCTCTGCCAGGACTGTAGGAAGTGCGCAGTACACTTTAGGGCATGCATGGCACTCCCTGGGAGACAGTGCTTTAGGGCCAGAGAAAAGATCTCCGCTGAAGGCAAACGCCCGCGCAGCCCACAAGTCCGGGCTGCACTCAACAAGTCAGGATGTTGCCATCGGCAATTCCGCAGAAGGCAGGAGCCCATCAGAGAGAAAGAGCCGCTGTCATAAGGTCTCTTGCCTGAGCTGTTGGGTTGAGAATGGAGCTGGAAGAGGGAACTGATCTCGGAGCTCCTCGGGGACCTTGGTTATGTTTGACCCTTTTACTTTCAGGGAGCGGGGATTGGCTCAAGTCACTGCATCCAGAGTACGGGGGAAACGAAGAAATCATGGAGAGAGTTTGCCCCAGGAGAGAGGCGAGCCTTATGTAGACTAGGATCTGGGGTGGGTAACTGGGGTGGGTAACAGTCCGTGCAGTGTGAATCTGAGAGGAGAAAACACCCAACATGGGAATGGTCAGGTAAGAAAGGACCAGAAGTTCCGGTTCTACGATAGCAAGGACCTAAGTTGCTAATTTAGGTTCTTTAATGCAGACCTGGTCTTTCAAAACTTCTTTCTCTTCCCTAGCCTTGTCATTTCAGCATTCTGGCCTTCCCTATGAGGAGGGAGATCAACTAAGTCACAGGTGAATAGGAGTTTCTTCTTTTCTAAAGTTTAATCTCCTTTGTCAGGGGGAATCGATACACTCTCTCATCTCTTACTTGGGAAAAACAAGATCTATCTTTATCGAGTGCTAACATGTGTACTATATGTTATCACTCAATGGTCGGATAGCTGAGTAGGGTTAGTAGGTATTTTAAAGATGTGTCAATAACTTAAGGAAAACTAGAACCTTGTCCAAGCTTACTCAAAAGGCAAGTAGCATACTACTAAATGCTGCCGAACCACTCAGGATTAGGTTCAGAATCCAGATCTGTAGGAGGACTCTCAGACTCTTGGCATTATGCTATTTCCCAGCATGCCATTCACTTACTACCTAATAATTTTGCCCTACCTGTGTACTACCTGTATTATTCTTATGTTTTTACTTACTTTTGTTAAATCAAACTTGTCCTAAGAAACAATATCTGTGAAATTAGCCATTTGATGGCTGCTCCAATAACAGTATAGTTATTCTAAGGTGTATCTAAAAATGTCAGTCCATGCGCTATATAAAATCGTCTCGTGTCAGAGATACAAACTACAATTTGGGACACAATGCACTGCATTATGCTCTCTTCTGGATTCTTTTCTGGGTAGGAAAGTCCCAGCTGCATATCTGAGTGTCAGTTATCCATTCTTAGTGTACTGTTTTATTCTTATAGATGAATCCTTTCACAGAGAATGCCCTGCTTTGTATCTTCTCCAAAAGACATTTCACTTCCCTGTTTAGGACTACCTGTTCTCAATGTTGTATGTAAAACAAGTAGGAACTCCATACATTTCAGGAGCTTACTCTCTCTTTGGGGAGTTAATATGTACCCAGAAAATAGTCTAACTCTGTGCTGTTCAATAGAGCTTTCTGTGATCAGGGAACTGTTCTCTATCTGTGCCTTATCTGTATCCACCAGCCAGATGTACCTGCTAAGCATTTAATACATGGCTAGTGCAACTGAGAAGTGAATTTTATTTTAATTAATTTAAATTTAAGTAGCCACGTATGGCTAGTGGCTACTAGTGGTTACCATATTGGACAGCCAGGTCTAGATATTTGAAATAAAATATTTTAAGATTAATTGATTTGGACTTGGAGTTCCCCCTTACCCCCCACAAAAACCTCATAGCATATATGTTACAAATGCGCTTTAACTTTAGTTTCTTAGTGAAGGGTAAAGATTCTTACCAATTTTCAGAGACTTCATAGTTGAAATAGTTTCTTGAAATTATTTAAAGCACATTTACGGTTTATAACACTTGTGCAAATGTACAGCTTCTGTGTTTTGTTACTATTGAAATATCCTGTAAAGCAATAACTTTATAGGATACTCTATAAGCAAAAGTCTTACTATTGTGTTATTTGTGTTCATTGCAGATAACTTTTCTTCTAGCTATCTGTTTTCTTTTATTAGTGACATTTAGACTATTTAAAAATTAGTTAAACACAACCACAATTGATATTAATGACGTTTTCAGGGCATCACTTCTTACGCTTTGACATAGGAGTTGGTGCGTTCAACTTATTTCTCTGCTTATTAGAATAATAGAATAACAAGAAGGAGACATTTGGTTCATAGCTATCTCTATCAGCTTAAATTCTATGTCAAATTATTTATTTTCCTGGCACTCAAAGTCAAACACTAGTGGACTGGTTGCATCTTGTTTTGTTTACTCTCTATGCAGGTTAGATATGTGGGGTTAGGAGGAAGGCTTAAAAAGAGTATCTTCATAATTTGCCTAGTTTCTTTTCTTTCTTTTTTTTTTTTTTTTTTGAGACGGAGTCTCGCTCTGTTGCCCAGGCTAGAGTGCAGTGGCGCAGTCTCAGCTCACTGCAAGCTCAGCCTCCTAGGTTCACGCCATTCTCCTACCTCAGCCTCCTGAGTAGCTGGAACTATAGGTGCCTGCTGCCACGCCTGGCTAATTTTTTGTACTTTTAGTAGAGATGGGGTTTCATTGTGTTAGCCAGGATGGTCTCGATCTCCTGACCTCGTGATCTGCCCGCCTTGGCCTCCCAGAGTGCCAGGATTACAGGCGTGAACCACCGTGCCCGGCCACCTAGTTTCTTAAGATTAAAAAATACTTGAAAGACAAAACAATCAAACATAATGTGTGGTCTTTGTTTCCTGGATTAAAGAAAAGCTATCTGGGATATTTTGAGGACAGTTGGGGAAATTCAAATATGAACTGGAATGTTAAGGAATTACAAATTTTGTTAGATGTGATAATGTAGTTATGAGGAGAATGTCATTTGGAAGATAGTATTGTGGTTATGAAGGAGAATGCCATTTGGAAATGTATGCTGAAACATTTAGATTTTAAAGTGTTATGATGTCTGTAATTTACTTCAAAATAGGTCAGCCAAAACAAAAAAGTACACACACAAGAAGCAAATACAGCAAAATGTCAGCAGTTGTTCATCTACATGGTGTGGACATGGGTGTTCATTGTTTTATTCTTTCTACTTCTCTGTATGTTTGAAAATCTTTTTTTATTTTTATTTTTTTTGAGACGGAGTCTTCACTCTGCCGCCCAGGCTGGAGTGCAGTGGCGCTATCTCAGCTCACTGCAACCTCCGCCTCCTAGGTCCAAGCAATTTTCCTGCCTCAGCCTCCCGAGTAGCTGGGATTACAGGTACCTGCCATCACACCTGGCTAATTTTTCGTATTTTTAGTGGAGATGAAGTTTCACCATGTGTTGGCCAGGCTGGTCTCAAACTCCCGACCCCAGGTGATCCACCTGCCTCGGCCTCCCAAAGTGCTGGGATTATAGGCTTGAGCCACTGTACCCGGCCTTGAAAATCTTTATAGTAAAAAGTTGAAAGAAAAAGGGTAGTGAGATATTGGATGTAAAACACTTGGCTCAGTGTCTGGCACACAGTAATTAACCGCACAAGAAATACTCTCTGTTATAGCAGTAAATTTTGAGTTTTTAATCTCTAATAGGCAGATTTTTTTCCCATTATAAGCTAGTTTCTTGTGGAGGAAGAAAATAAACTTAATGGGAAACCCCAGTTTAGTGACAGACACCAATTTCTAAAATATATATATTTTTTATATTATATATTTATATATACAATATAATAAATATATATATTATATATATAAATATATATATATGTTTTTTTTTGAGACAGAGTCTTGCTCTGTCAACCAGGCTGGAATGCAGTGGTGCGATCTCGGCTCACTGCAAGCTCCGCCTCCCCGGTTCACGCCATTCTCCTGCCTCAGCCTCCCGAGTAGCTAGGTCTACAGGCACCCGCCACCATGCCTGGCTAATTTTTTTGTATTTTTTAAAATAGAGACGGGGTGTCACCGTGTTAGCCAGGATGGTCTCGATCTCCTGACCTCATGATCCGCCCTCCTCAGCCTCCCAAAGTGCTGGGATTACAGGCGTGAGCCACCGAGCCCAGCCCCAATTTCTATAATATTAAGAGGATAATTTATGAAGTCAAGCTACTAATTTCCATGTGTTGCTGTAACATCCTCTTATTATTTCATGCATTAATTTGTGTTAAACCATATTTATTCGTATTTATCTATAGTTGATCTTTGAATTTTGCCATACTAGGTTCCTTGAACTGCATTTAAAAACAGTTATTGCAGAGCTACTTTCTCTCAAGGAACAGTTTGTAGTTGAGGTTCATTTTCCTCATCAAGGACTTTGTTTCAAGGAAATTGTAGAAGGTGGCCCTTGGTAAACTTCTCAAACATTGTTCCTACAAAGATGTATATTCACTTAAAATAATGAAATACTCTTTCAAGTTAATAGAATTTTGAAGCAGAAAAGGCAAACTTCAAATCTCCTTTTTTTTTTCTTTTTCTTTTTCTTGAGACAGAGTCTTGCTCTGTCACCTAGGCTATAGTGCAGTGGCGCAGTCGCGGCTCACTGCAACCTCCATCTCCCTGTTCAAGCAATTCTCCTGCCTCAGCCTCCCGAGTAACTAGGAATACATGTGTGTGCCACCATACTCAGCTAATTTTTGTATTTTTAGTAGAGATGGGGTTTCACCATGTTAGCCAGGCTGGTCTTGAACTCCTGACCTCAAGTGATCTGCCCGCCTCAGCCTTCCAAAGGGCTGGGATTACAGGCGTGAGCCACCTGCCCGGCCTCAAATCTCTTTTTAAATCTGAAGAAACTGAGACCAAGAAAGGTGGTTTGCTTGAAGTCACACACAGTATGTTAGTGGAAGATCCAGGAATAAAACTATTTTTCCCCTTTAAAAATTCTGTGGTGGCTTACGCCTGTTATCCCAGCACTTTGGGAGGCTGAGGTGGGTGGATCACGAGGTCAGGAGATTGAGACCATCCTGGCTAACACGATGAAATCCCGTCTCTACTAAAAATACAAAAAATTAGCTGGGCATGGTGGCGGGTGCCTGTAGTCCCAGCTACTCAGGAGGCTGAAGCAGGAGAATGGTGTGAACCCAGGAGGCGGAGCTTGCAGTGAGCCGAGATCGCGCCACTGCACTCCAGCCTGGGTGACAGAGCGAGACTCCGTCTCAAAAAAAAAAAAAAAAAGAAAAATTCTGCCAAGTGATATATATGGATTATATAAGGAACCCTATTGCAATACATATCTGTACTACAACTCTATGGCATTACTAATTGGTCATAAATAAACTGGCTTTTTAAAAGAATATAAGTAAATAATTTGTCATGATTTTGTTTTTATCTTACTGAAATTTGAAAGTGCTTTTGAGAAGGTTTTTATTTGAACAATGCATTTCTTTAACATGTTATGCAGGGCCCTTCTAGCCCAGTCCAGAGCTGTGCTATGGCAGAGACAAGAGAAGAGGAGACAGTGTCAGCAGAAGCCTCCGGGTTCTCAGACTTGAGTGACTCAGAATTCCTGGAGTTTCTGGACCTAGAAGATGCCCAAGAGTCAAATGCTTTAGTTAACATGCCTGGCCCATCTTCTGAATCCCTTGGGAAGGATGACAAACCCATAAGCTTACAAAACTGGAAAACAGGTTTGGATATCTTATCACCCATGGAGAGATTCCACCTTAAATATTTGTATGTCACTGACCTGGCTACTCAGAACTGGTGTGAACTGCAAACAGCATATGGGAAGGAGCTTCCTGGTTTTTTGGCACCTGAGAAGGCAGCTGTTTTGGACACTGGTGCCAGCATACACCTAGCTAGAGAACTAGAACTTCATGACCTTGTGACTGTCCCAGTCACCACTAAAGAAGATGCTTGGGCAATTAAGTTTCTGAACATACTTTTGATGATTCCTGCCCTGCAGTCAGAAGGGCACATCAGAGAGTTTCCCGTGTTTGGGGAAGTGGAGGGTGTACTTCTTGTTGGAGTGATCGATGAGCTGCACTATACAGCCAAGGGGGAACTGGAACTGGTGGAACTCAAGACACGCAGGCGCCCTATGCTCCCTCTGGAAGCTCAGAAAAAGAAAGACTGTTTTCAAGTCAGCCTATACAAATATATCTTTGATGCCATGGTACAAGGAAAAGTGACCCCTGCTAGCTTAATCCACCACACGAAGTTGTGTCCAGAAAAGCCACTGGGGCCATCAGTGCTGAGGCATGCCCAGGAAGGAGGCTTCTCTGTGAAATCTTTGGGTGACCTCATGGAACTGGTCTTCTTGTCTCTAACACTGTCAGACCTCCCAGTTATTGATATCTTGAAGATTGAGTATATCCACCAAGAGACTGCCATGGTGCTGGGTACTGAGATTGTAGCCTTTGAAGAGAAGGAGGTGAGAGCCAAGGTGCAGCATTATATGGCCTACTGGATGGGCCACCGAGAGCCCCAGGGAGTCGATGTGGAGGAGGCTTGGAAGTGCCGGACATGTACATATGCAGACATTTGTGAGTGGAGAAAGGGCAGTGGAGTACTCAGCTCTACACTGGGGCCCCAAGCCAAAAAAGCCAAATGAATAGAAGGTATGCTTTCAAGAATGTCGATCCTTCCTGCTCCTGCTGTACCTAAGCAAAAGAGGACCAGTCTCTGAGCTTGGCTTTTATGGACAGTGTTCTTATTTTGGTTCTTTTTTTATTTCCACAACCTCTAACCACATTCAGTCCAGGACCAAGGCTCAGGGATGAGTGGGAGAGATGGGTTATACTACCCTGGAGCTTCACCATGATTGCCTAAGAAGACAGATGCTCATCATGGCTGGAATGAAGGTATCCTTCAGTAAACATTGCTTTCTTAAGAAAATTCTTCAGTTTCTGATAAGTCATCCCTATTTTTATCTTGATTAAGGCTTTCTACAGTTACATAATACAATGAAATGCTGTCTGGGACAGTTGAACTGATGGTTTTTTCATAGTTGCAGTCCTTCAAAGATGGCCACCATACATAGTTGTGTACATGTTATTCCAAGCCTTTAAATACATACATAAACATATTTTTAAATCAGAATGAACAGACCAAAACATAAACGTAATATTCTCAAAGAGACAAGGAAAGATGAAGTAGAAACAGGAAGTCATAAAAAGTGAAAATATTAGATATGAAAAACATAATACATGGCTGGGTGCAGTGGCACACGCCTGTAATCCCAGCACTTTGGGAAGCTGAGGTAGGTGGATCACCTGAGGTCAGGAGTTCAAGACCAGCCTGACCAATATGGTGAAAGCCCATCTCTACTAAAAATACAAAAATTAGCCGGGGGTGGTGGTGTGCACCTGTAGTCCCAGCTACTTGGGAGGCTGAGACAGGAGAATAGCTTGATCCGGGTAGGCAGAGGTTACAGTGAGCTGAGATCACACCGCTGCACTCCAGCCTGGGCAACAGAGTGATACTCTGTCTTTAATAATAATACATGAAGTAACATCTAACATTCACATATTACAGTCCAGCAGTAATGCTCCTGGGTATATGCTGTAAGAAACATACATATACAATAGAAAATGTGAACACGAATATACTTTGTGGCACTTTCACAATAGCAAAAGCCTAGAAGCTACCCAGGTGCCCATCATCAGAAGAGTGGATAATGTACAGTAGCCAAAACAAATGAGCTACAGTGACATAAAACAATATGCATGAATATTAGCAGCACAACATTAGGTGAAAAAAGTCCTAAAAATTACATACAGCATGATACCCTTTTTATAAGGTGAAAAATAACATTTAAAGGAAAATGTAAAGGTAGTGGAGAGGAATCCCAATGCATCTTAGAAGGCAGTAGAGCTCTTAACTACAAACATCATCAAAGAAGCTGGAGGAAGGAATGATACAGATGTCACCTGGAAGATAAGGACTTGTTTGTGGTGACACTACTGGAGAATTTGCAGAAGTCAGTGCATGAGGAGGGCAATTGGCAGGGGGAGAGTTTTCTGTATTAACTGGAACGTTAAGAGCCAACAGAACATGGTGAATGTTGTTAGTATGATTCCATGCTATACATGAGCTGGTAAATCCTGGACATCTGTAGAAGACAAGGTAGGTTGTCTCTGGAGGCTCTTCTTAACTACACATACTCTTCTTATGGACCCTGAAATCTTATGATGACTTTTTACTGAATGACTCTTATGGCCAGGCACTGTACTAAGCACATTGTAATTAAATCTGTATCCATTATCTCCAGCAAGGGAACTGAGGCCTAGAAGGGTTATATAATTTTCCTAGCTGGGTGTGGTAGCTCACACCTGTAATCTTAGTACTTTGGGAGGGCAAGGTATGAAGATCACTTGAGGACAGAAGTTAAAGACCAGCCTGGGCAACATAGCAAGACCCCACCTCAAAAAAAAAAAAAAAAATCCAGGCATGGTGGTGCATGCCTGTAGTCCTAGCTACTTGGTAGGCTGAGGCAGGAGGATCACTTGAACCCAAGAATTCAAGGTTACAGTGAGCTATGATCATGCTACTGCAAAAAAAAAAAAAAAAAAAAAAAAGTTTCCAGGGTTCCACTGTTTGAAAGTGGTAGACTTCAGCCTAGATATGTCTGACTGCAGTGCTTATGTTCTTAATCATTATGCTATAAAAGTTTTTTTGTTGAACCTCCTGGACTGTATGTTATTATAGGCCTTAGTAAGTTTAGAGTTAAATTGGGAGCATAGTAAGCTGTACCTTATGGGATAAACAGTATTAAGCTAATAGTCTTCAAGAAAAGAACTTGCTCAAGTTCTATAGCATCATCTTAGTTATACCAGAAGTTTTAAGAACAGGAAAAAGGGACAGGCGCGGTGGCTCGCCTGTAATCCCAGCACTTTGGGAGGCTGAGTTGGGCGAATCACCTGAGGTCAGGAGTTGAAGACCAGCCTAGCCAACATGGTGAAACCCCATCTCTACTAAAAATACAAAAATTAGCTGGGCGTGGTGGCGGGCACCTGTAATCCAAGCTACTCAGGAGGCTGAGGCAGGAGAATCACTTGAACCCAGAAGGCAGAGGTTGCAGTGAGCTGAGATCACACCACTGTACTCCAGCCTGGGTGACAGAGTAAAACTGTCTCAAAAAGGAAAAAGAAAATTTGTTTTCAGATACTGACATTATTGAGAATTCAGTAATTCCTTGAAACTTCAAATCCTTATTTTAAGTTAACACCTTCTGGTTATAACCTTAGGGTTTCTCATAAGTTGAGACATCTTTAGTTGGGACCACCCCAGGATCACTGCTTATGAATGTTTGTGCCCCCTCAAATTAGTATGTTGAAATCCAAACCCTCAGTATGGTAGTATTAAGAGGTGGGCCTTTGGGAGGTGATTAGGTAATGAGGGAACAGCCCTCGTGAATGGGATTGGTGCCCTTATAAAAGAGTTCCAAGGGAGCTCTTCAGTCTTTCCATGATGTGAGGACACAGTGAGAAGGTGCCCCGAAAACTATGAGAAATACATTTTTGTTGTTTATAAGCCACTCAGTTTGTGATGTTTTGTTATAGCATCTCGAATGACTAAGACAATCACTGATGCTGTTTTCTATAACAAATACCCTCCTGTTTCAGCCTTCGCATGTCTAATAATGTCATCTCTCCCTTATGAATTCTGCCTAACATGTCTGAACTCCAAATTACAGCCCTGGTGGACGTTTGTTTAGTGAGTGGATAAAAGAGATGTCACAACAAAGCTATATCTTGATTTTTAAAAAATTGCTTTCTGGGCCAGGAAATGAGTTGAATACCTTAATTGGGATTAGGATCAATTATTTATAATAGAAATCACCAAAACAATAGTGGTTAAACAAAATAGAAGTGTATTTCTCACTTAAAAGAAGCCTAACTATAGTTAGTCCAGGACTGGTGTGGCACCCTATGATGTCAAGAGCCCAGATTCCTTCCCTCTTGTTTCTCTGACATAAACATGTATCTTCTTCATAGTCCAAAATGGCTGGCCAAAATCCAGTCACCCATTACACATTCGCATAAAGTTGGAATAGCAGAAAGGCACCCCTTTAAGGACACTTTTAAAATGTGTACTACTACTTTCACTTAGAGCCCACTGGCCAAAATTTGGCCACCTCGTCATAGCTAACTGCAAGAAAGGTTGGGATGTGTAGTTTTTATTCTCAGCAAGCATATGCCCTGACCAAAACTAAATTCTATGACTGCAAGAAAAGGGAGAATGGAGAGAGGATTTGGAGAAAATGACAGCGTAGAAAGCACCAGAAATCTGTCTCCCAGCCTAGACAGCAGCTGCACTGGCAGAATCTATCTGATGTAACTATTTTGGAATCTAGAGTCTATTGAAATTTTGCAACTTCCAGGGGAAGATGATAAATTGTAGTTAATTTTGGTCAATTTCAACTCTTAGTAGTAACTACCAGTTTCTCACCCCTCAGTCCTATGGCTACAGCTGTGCACATATTTCTGGCCAGTTTGCATACAGCTTGAGTTTTTCCTCCTTCATTTTTCTTTTAACCCCTTTTGGGAGCAAGACATTGAAGACTAGGACATTCAAAAGCAACTGCATATATGGGGAAACTAGAAAATCACCATGTATGCTGAGGGGAGGTGCAGAATTAAAAAAGGCCTGAGTAGAAAAGTTTATATTTCATGCAGATTCTTGGGACAGACACAGCCTAAACAATGAAATAAAATAGAAACACTGAGGAATGGGGAAAATCTGATATCCAGAGTTACCACATTAGATTAAAATGTCTAGTTTTTGGCCGGGCATGGTGGCTCACTCCTATAATCCCAGTGCTTTGGGAGGCCAAGGTGGGTGGGTTGCTTGAGGTCAGGAGTTCAAGACCAGCCTGGCCAACATGGCGAAACTGTGTCTCTACTAAAAATACAAAAATTAGTGGGGCATGGTGGTTCTGAGGTTTTGGGACTCAGACTGGCTTCCTCGCTCCTAAGCTTGCAGATGGCCTATCTTGGGACTTTATCTTTTGATCGTCAATACTCCTTAATAAACTCCCCTTCATATGTACATCTATCCTATTCTGTCCCTCTGGAGAACCCTGACTAATACACTGGATGACAGCACATCTGTTTACAGCATGGATGACTATTTTAAGCCCACTGTTGAGAACTGCTCAGAAAAAAAGATTCCTTTCAAACTTACTGCTCATTGATAGTATACCCCTTCATCCAAGAGTTCTGATGGAGATACATAAGGAGATTATTGTTTTCATGCCTTCTAACACAACATCCACTCTGCAGCCCATGGATCAAGGAGTCATTTTTAATTTCAAGTGTTGTTATTTAAGAAATATATTTCATAAGGCTGTAGCTGCCATAGATAGAGATTCCGCTGATGGATTTGGGCAAAGTAAATTGAAAACCTGAAAAGGAGTCGTCATTTTAGATGCCATTAAGAATGTTGATATTTTTGGCCGGGCGCGGTGGCTCAAGCCTGTAATCCCAGCACTTTGGGAGGCCGAGGCGGGTGGATCACGAGGTCAGGAGATCGAGACTATCCTGGCTAACATGGTGAAACCCGGTCTCTACTAAAAATACAAAAAACTAGCTGGGCGAGGTGGCGGGCGCCTGTAGTCCCAGCTACTTGGGAGGCTAAGGCAGGAGAATGGCGGGAACCCGGGAGGCGGAGCTTGCAGTGAGCCGAGATCGCGCCACTGCACTCCAGCCTTGGAGACACAGCGAGACTCCGTCTAAAAAAAAAAAAAAAAAAAAGAATGTTGATATTTTGTGACACGCCTGTAATCCCAGCACTTTGGGAGGCCGAGGTGGGTGGATCATGAGGTCAGAAGATCTAGGCTGGGCGCGGTGGCTCAAGCCTGTAATCCCAGCACTTTGGGAGGCCGAGATGGGTGGATCACGAGGTCAGGAGATCGAGACCATCCTGGCTAACATGGTGAAACCCCATCTCTACTAAAAAATACAAAAAACTAGCCGGGCGAGGTGGCGGGCGCCTGTAGTCCCAGCTACTCGGGAGGCTGAGGCAGGAGAATGGCATAAACCTGGGAGGCGGAGCTTGCAGTGAGCTGAAATCCGGCCACTGCACTCCAGCCTGGGTGATAGAGCGAGACTCCATCTCAAAAAAAAAAAAAAAAAGAAGATCGAGACCATCCTGGCTAACACGGTGAAACCCCGTCTCTACTAAAAATACAAAAAGTTAACCAGGCGTGGGTGGTGGGCTCCTGTAGTCCCAGCTAATTGAGAGGCTGAGGCAGGAGAATGGTGTGAACCCGGGAGGCGGGGCTTGCAGTGAGCCCAGATCGCGCCACTGTACTCCATCCTGGGCGACAGAGTGAGACTCTATCTCAAGAAAAAAAAAGTGTTACCTTATCTTCAATTTTTTGCAAAAGTTTAAGAAGTGGTATTGCTTCTTCTTTAAATGTTTGGTAGAATGAACTAAAAAACAACATTCTTAAAAAAGAGTGTTGAGATTTTGACTTCCAACCAAGACAACTAGAATTAGAAGTGGAGCCTGAAGATGTGACTGAATTGCTGTAGTCTCATGATAAAACTTGAACAGATAAGGAGTTGCTTCTTATGGATGAGCAAATAAAGTGGTTTCTTGAGATGGAATCTGCTCCTGGTGAAGATGCTGTGAATATTGTTGAAATGGCAACAAAGGATTTACAATATTACATAAACTGAGTTGATAAAGCACTAGCAAGTTTTGAGAAGACCAACTCAAATTTTGAAAAAAGTTCTATGGGGGTAAAGTGCTATCAAACGGCACTGCATATTGCATGCTACAGAGAAATCTTTTTTTTTTTTTTTTTTTTTTTTGACACGGAGTTTCGCTCCTGTTGCCCAGGCTAGAGTGCAGTCACAGCTCACTTCATTGCAACCTCTGCGTCCCCAGTTCTAGCGATTCTCCTGCCTCAGTCTCCTGAGCAGCTGGGATTACAGGCATGTGCACCACGCCCAGCTAATTTTGTATTTTTAGTAAAGATGGGGTTTCCTCATTGTGGCCAGGCGTGTCTCAAACTTCTGACCTCAGGTGATCCACCCACCTCGGCCTCCCAAAGTGCTGAGATAACAGGTGTGAGTCACCGCATCTGGCCTGAGAAATCTTTGTGAAGGGAAGAGTCAATCAATGGGACAATCTTCATTGTTGTCTTATTTTAAGAAATTGCAAGACTGAGCATAGTGGCTCATGCCTATAATCCCAGAACTTTGGGAGGCCAAGGTAGGAGGATCACTTGAGGCCAGTAGTTCACAACTAGCCTGGGAAACATAGTGAGACCCTGTCTGTACAAAAATTTAAAAATTAGATAGGTGTGGTGGTGGGCACTTCTAGTCCTAGCTACTAGGAAGGCTGAGGGGGAGGATTGCTTGAGCCCAGAAGTTTGAGGCTGTAGTGAGCAATGATTATGCCACTG